TTGGTGTATTCCGCTAAGCGCGCCGAGCATGTGTCCCTGGTTCGCAAAGTACTGGCCCGACTGTTGGAAAATGACCTTTATGCCAAGGCAGAGAAGTTTGTTTTCCAGCAGTCCGTCTCCTTCCTCGGATACCGCATTACCACCTCAGGTGTGGAGATGGAGGGAGATTGCATTTCAGCCGTGCGTAATTGGCCGACTCCAACCGCGGTAAAGGAGGTGCAGCGCTTCCTTGGCTTCGCCAACTATTATCTGAGGTTTAACCGGGGCTTTGGCAAGGTCGCAGCTCCCATTACATCTCTGTTGAAGGGTGGGCCGTCCCTGCTCCGCTGGTCTGCTGAGGCTGACAGGGCCTTCAGTAACCTGAGGGAACTGTTCACCTCGGCCCCGGTACTGGCCCACCCCGATCCATCACTACCATTCGTATTGGAGGTGGATGCGTCCGAGGTTGGGATGGGAGCAGTCCTGTCTCAACGCTCGGGCACGCCACCCAAGCTCCACCCCTGTGCGTTCTTCTCAAAGAAGCTCAGCCCGGCGGAGCAGAACTACGGCGTTGGTGATCGGGAGCTGTGACGTGAGGGTGTATGTTTCCTCCTGCTCAGTGTGCGCCCAGAGTAAGGCACCTAGGCAGCCTCTCTCTCAAGGGAACACCACCATCCTGGTCATTGTGGACCACTTTTTGAAGGCCTGCCGCCTCCTTCCTCTGCCCGGTCTCCCACGGCTCTGCAAACTGCGGAGGCCCTGGTTACACGTCTTCCGGCACTACGGGGTACCAGAGGATATAGTGTCTGACAGAGGTCCCCAGTTCACGTCAAAAGTCTGGAAGGCGTTCATGGAACGTCTGGGAGTCTCGGTCAGCCTGCCCTCTGGGTCCCACCCTGAGAGTAATGGGCAGGTGGAACGGGTAAATCAGGATGTGGGTAGGTTCCTGAGGTCCTATTGCCAGGACCGGCCGGGGGAGTGGTCAGTGTTCCTGCCATGGGCAGAATATGCCCAGAACTCTCTCCGCCACTCCTCTACGAACCTAACGCCATTTCAGTGTGTTTTAGGTTATCAACCGGTTCTGGCACCGTGGCACCAGAGCCAGACCGAAGCTCCTGCGGTGGATGACTGGTTTTGGCGCGCGGAGGAGACGTGGAACACTGCCCATGTTCACCTCCAACGCCAACGCTGACCATCACCGCAGTGAGGCCCCCGTCTTTGTACCGGGGAACGGGTCTGGCTATTGACCCGGAATCTGCCCCTCCGCCTGCCCTGCCGGAAGCTGAGCCCGCGGTTTGTAGGGCCGTTCAAAGTCCTGAGGAGAATCAACGAGGTCACATATAGGTTATTACTCCCCCCTGATTACCGTATTAACCCCTAGTTTCATGTGTCTCTCCTCAGGCCGGTGGTGGCTGGTCCGCTCCAGGAGTCTGAGGTGCGGGAGGTCCCTACACCTCCTTTGGACATCGAGGGGGCGCCGGCGTACTCTGTCCGTTCCATACTGGATTCGAGGCGCCGGGTGGGGGGCCTTCAGTACCTCGTGGAGTGGGAAGGGTACGGTCCGGAGGAACGGTGCTGGGTCCCAGTGAGGGATATCCTCGATCCCTCTCTGTTGAGGGACTTCCATCGTCGCCATCCGACTCGCCCTGCTCCGCGTCCTCCTGGCCGTCCCCGAGGCCGTTGTCGGCGTGCTGCTGGAGCTGCGCGTCAAGGGGGGGATACTGTCACGAATTCAGCCGAGGCTGCCCCTCCTCCTTGCTCGGGCAGGTTTCGGCATTCATCGTCACCGGCTTACTAGCCACTACCGCTCCATTTATCATCACTCCATTTGTCTTGTCTTGTCTTGTCAATCACACACACCTGGTACTCATTCCCTCATTAGTCTGTGTATAAGTGTTCCCTCTGCCCCCTTGTCCTTTGTGAGTGATTGTTCATTGTGAGAGTGAGTAGCTCGGTTGAGTTACTCTTTCCTTGTATGTAGCCAAGGTGGATTTTTCCCTTGTGCTAGTTTTGTTTTGACACTTGCTGCGCTTTATTCATGTACACTGAATAAACTCTGGATTTCGGTGTTTTACCTCCTGCGCCTGACTCCGTCATTCACACCTCATCACAATGACGACTCTGTTCAATATATTTAGCGGAGTGATGGATCTCTAAAAAGTCCACCTATGTAGCTAAAGTGAATGATTCAATTGTAACTTTAGCTGGAGAAAACTCCAACGCGGTTGCTGAGGTGAAGGATTAAATTGAAGCCTTTAACAGGGAGGAAACTCCATCTGTAGCTCATTTATGAGCTGAATGGCAGTTGCTGGGGTGAAAACTGTGGTTGAAGCCTTAGCTGGAGGAATTGTAGCATTTCCATTGTCGTTTGCAGTGCACTTGCATTTCAGTAGAATCTATGAATCACATTATTATTATGAATAGTATTGATTTCAAAATGGGAGAACCAAGGACACGGGTGGTTCCTAATGTTGTGAGATTCTCGCTAGTCTTTGCAGAACAACTGGTTCTGAGAGATTAGGATCAGGACCTACAATTGTAAAAGTAAGCAACTGTAACAAAAGGCTAAGGCATAAGAATATGAAAGTGTGTATTCTTATTTTAAATGTATGTACTTCATGTCTTAATTCTATGTATTATAATGTATTTATTTATTTTACATGTATTTAGTTCTGTACCTGTCTTAATGTTATGTAATATGTTGTTTTCTGTAGTTCAGCTGTAATTGTCTATTAATGTTCTGTATTATGTCATGTTTTATGTGGACCCCAGCAAGAGTAGCTGCAGCTTTGGATGTAGCTAATTGGGGAGCCTAATAAAATACAAAAAATACAAAATACTATGAAAGCCCTAGCTAGCTGTAACCCTACCCTACTGACAGAAGGCACCTCTGCCAGTCATTCAGTGCCCCCTATTCATAATTTGTGCGTCAGAAGTGCACTAGGCAGAGGGCTATTCACAGAGCACAGTTGGCACCTTAATTGACTGGCTACTGGCAAGGAAATGATGAGGAAGTAGACAAAAGTAACATTTAGTCCTCTGCTCTTTCTTCTGACCAAAACATTTGTCCAAGTATGAGCTAAACAAACCAGGGCTAATTTGCCTTGTATCTAGCATCTTAGTATAATGTTTCACCAATGTCAAACACAGTAACATAAACAGCCCAAACTATTTCCTTTATAAGAAATGAAAGAAAGAGAAACATCCTGTATGAAATCTCCTGCAGTTCTCACCAAAAACACCACTCCCTTTTATTTACCTACGGAGGCCACCTGTAAACACCATAGGCTAATCCCAATGCGAACACGACTATAGCTAATCTACCCATGCAGTAGCTATAAAAGGCCTTTGTAAAGAGAAAAGAGATCCATACCTTCTCCTGTGGTCATAGCAGGGCTGTTGATTCCACACACTAACAGACCTAAGTAACAGTGAGCAACAAGGACAAACACTGCCGTATGTCTGTCTCTTCTCTATTGTCTCTACCTACCGTACTCCAGGCTACTCCTTCCCCTCCCCTCTAGCTAGGTCTTGTGACTGCACGGATGACAAAATGCCTGCAGCAGAGTCCCTTGTGTTGCTGCCTCTTCCTAGGCTCTCTGGCTCTCCCTTTCCCTTCGCCAGCCCCAGGTCTAGTATTCATTAGGGCCAAGTGTTTCTCATTGGACAAATTCAGATGCAGTACCTCCCTGTTTCAATCGGGTTGGTACCAAATGAATAGGACACAGGATTCCTGGGCAGAGAGAGAGGTCCTTTCCACTTGCCTGGACTGTTGACATTCATGAGCTGTCAGCTGCACAGGAGAGGCAGGCCTTTGAAGTATCTGGTGCAGGCCAAGACATTGCCTTTATTCCTGGTTAACCTTCGAGCCGCACAGGGGGAAAAACTGTGTTGACAGCAAAGGGTTTTCCCCTTTCTTTGGCCCACAAGGTGAACAGGAAACACCAATGAGATGTCGGTCAATGACGTCAATGATGCATTACCATAAAATAACTAGCATGACACCTTGCTTTGGCCAATTTGCTTAGGTTTGATATGAAGTCATTCAGTCTACTAAATGAAAGTAGAGATTACAGCAGCTCTAGTCTAATCTCTACAGGGTGAACTCTTGTGATGAAAGTGAAGCCTCATGACCACAGCAATTATACCCTTTATGTCCCAGACTTAAGAGGCCTGAGGAAAGTCAAATGATACGGCCGCAGCAACAAAGAGACACAATCTCCGATATCAGTCGGTCCTGGTTCAATACTGCTGCTTCAGGGTAAGGCACTACTCTGTGTGCAGAATACCAAGAACATGTCCAATAGAGAGCAGCTGAAAGGAGAATCTGACCCCCTGCCTGCAGCCCTGCATTGCTGCAGAGAGACTGCTCAATGCATACTAACTGTTCTCTTCTGAAAGAGCCTGGACACGGAACAGGTTTCTCTGTTGTTGGTTTTCTGTCCAGCTCTAAGTGGTCTGAGCCCAGGGTCTGTATCCACAAAGTGTCTCAGAGTAGGAGTGCTGATCTAGGATCAGGTCCCCACCTGTACATACATCTTGTCTTAATTTGACCAGTTTCTCAAAGCAGGAAAATAATCCTGCAGCAACAGGAAATGTCAATTATTATGTGCATTATAATTAATAGAAATGTTTGTAGGGGTTGATACATTTTTCGTTAGGGCAAATTATAAACCTCAAATACACTACAAGTTGCATTTCATGCTGGGCAGGAAATTTCTCTGCGACAACAGTGATCAAATTAAGATAGCAGCTCTGTATAATTTTATGCATTATGATCTAAAAGCCAAAACTGATCCTAGATCAGCAATCATACTCTGAGATGCTTTATGGATATGGGCACAGCTTGGATATGAGACCCCCCTCAACTCCATAAGCATAGTCCTATCCCAGTGCACTGCTTGCACTACACCAGAACATATCAATATGACAACGCTCAATGGAAAGGGATGAATGTTTCCATGTGGTGTTGGACAGTTGGAAAGTACAACAGTGAGAGCAAAGGAAGTACTGTGCTTACCTGAGACAGGGGACAGAATCATGTTCCCCGATCTTTGAACTTCATCAAATTTACTGAAAATGACATTCAACCTGGAAAGAGACAGACAGAATATTGTTTTAAGGGCATTTTCATACAATTATGACAAGGTGCAAGCCTAAAAGCAGACAGGCAGGCTCCCTGGAGATACCAGAGAACTGGGTCATGGTGATTGCACTTCAACAGAAAGCCTTGATATCAGAAATACAACAGAGGATGAAGGTACCGTGACTGTGGCAGTCCCTTTTTCCCCAAGTCCATCCGCACCCTCTCCCCGACGTGTCTGTAGATCTCAACAAGACAGTTCATGGCCCCGTCTCGCACCTGCGTGTCAGGAAATAAAACAGGACACATTAACACGGCTTCACTCATCCGTCTGCACACTAACCAACGACATAATCGTTTGTCTGGATTGAACACAAAATTATATGTAAAAAATCTAGAAATTCTCTCTTATTGACTGTAATAGTCAATATAGTTGTGCTATTTGAAACTGACAAAGATGGCTTGCACTATATCAGTACAGGAAGACAGGTCCATGGACACAGCTTCCTGTTCCCGACAGGAAGTGCAGAAGTGCTGTTGAAGTGCAGAGCAAAGCCTTTTGAAAAAGTGTACAAAACAAGCTAATTGCAAGGAATAAACAGACTAGAGATATCAGGAAAGTACTGAAGTCTGATAAGTTCACATGGAATCTGTAACACTGTTGGTCAACCACCAGAGAGTTCTGAAACACCAATAATGCTGTTGTCAACCTCAGTGACAGCTGAAATCAAGTTTAACACTACAATGTATACTGAACAAAAATATAAACGCAACATGTAAAGTGTTGGTCCCATGTTTCATGAGCTGAAATAAAATATCCCAGAATTGTTCCATTCACACAAAAAGCCTATTGCTCTCAAATTGTGTGCACAAATTTGCTTACATCCCTTAGTAAAAATGTATTCTTTGCCAAGATAACCCATCCACTTGACATGTGTTGCATATCAAGAAGCTGATTAAACAGAATGATCATTACACAGGTGCACCTTGTGCTGGGGACAATAAAAGGCCACTCTAAAATGTGCAGTTTTGTCACACAATATAATGCCACAGATGTCTCAAGTTTTGACGGAGCGTGCAATTGGCATGCTGACTGCAGGAATGTCCAATTTAATGTTAATTTCTCTACCATAACGTCATTTTAGAGAATTTGGCAGTACATCAAACCGGCCTCACAACTGCAGCCCAGGACCTCCACATCTGGCTTCTTCGCCAGCGGGATCGTCTGAGACCAGCCACCCGGACAGCTGATGAAACTGAGGAGTATCTGTCTGTAATAAAGCCCTTTTGTGGGGAAAAACTAATTCTGATTGGCTGGGCCTGGCTCCCCAGTGGGTGGGCCTGGCGTCCAAGTGGGTGGCCCTATGCCCTCCCATGGATGTGCCCCTGTCCAGTCATGTGACTAATTAATTTATTCCAACTGACTGATTTCCTCATATGAACTGTAACTCAGTCAATTTTTTGAAATTGTTGCATGTTGCATTTATATTTTTGTTCAGTATAGTTTAATAGCCTAAGCACCAATTTTTTGCTTAAAAAAATAATGTAACTATACCTGGCTTGTAGGGTCTCCTAAAAGATTACATATGTGGGGGACAATTTTGCTGAGGGTCAAGCCTTGAGCTCCATATCTGTAAGGGGGGAAAAAATCATTATTTTTTAAAAGCACAAAGAATGTGTATGACAAAACAGATGAAATAGTACTTTTTAACCATTCCTGGCTATTATGAACTTACACATTTAACGTGGCGATAAGGCAAATGCAGACACTCTCTCTGGTCCTGTTGTTCTTGTGTTTGAATCCTCCTAACATTCGATCCCATACATACTGCAAATAAATAAAAGAAAATAAATGTATTGTTGTCCATTTTTTATATTTAAACGTTTATTTCCGATACTAACAGGTAGGTGAGTCTACAGTACATGCTGATATTACCTGTGGGTTAGCAGCTTGATCCATGATCTTTAGTAGAAGAGCTTGGTCCTGGTCTCTGACTTGGTCCTTTGAGTCGCCTAGTCGATCTATCAAACTCGGCAAAACTAATGGGAGGAAGAAGGCAAGGACAAAGATATGAATTATGTGACAAAAAAATTATGAATCAAAAATATTTGTTATAATGCATACAACTGCCAGGGATAGCTTACCAGTTCCAATCTGTGTCCTAAACCGTTCCTGTAGTCTTGTTACTAAAGCTGACAGTATGTCCATTCCCAACAAAGCCACCTAAGAATAAAGATCAAAAGATAAACATTTTAGTATATATTTTTTTATATATAACATAGGCTATTCAACAAAAGCATAAATGTTAGAGACATTGAGAGAGAAGAATGCATAACATCATAAAAATAAGCCTTTGAAATACAAGTTCAGGTTGCAAAGGATTGTGGGTAATGTGATAAATCTTGGTTTTGTTCCCTTTATAAAATGTTAAAAGCAAAAGGAAGCCCTCAAACACAAATAATATATATTGTAACAACCTACTGATGCTGCTGTAGGACTACTGTAGAAAATAAAATACTAACCATGTCGGAAACAACTTTGAGATGTGATAAGGGTTTGGCTGGCACTAAGGAAGGTATCTTTCCTTGTCTTGGGGTGGCATGGGACACTCAATGAACGTGTAGTGAGAGTATCCCTGCTAACGCCATAATCAACACATTCGCATCACCTGAGCTTCTTGCTCGGGCTATGGTGCAATTTTTGGAACCCCAGGGTTTATATTTGTAGAGAGAGAACAATTTCTCAACAGGTTTCCTGCTGCCTAATGTCACCTAGTGGAGAAGTTCACATTGCACGTACAAAATAATTGTTGGTTGTAAATACAAATTCATAATTGCTGCATATCAAAAATGTGTCTGAGTAAATAGCTTTAATTTAAAAACATTTAAAACAAGGTGCTGAAGACTATTCAGAAGTGACAGAACACAAACACACACCATTTGAGAACAGGTTGTCCGTCAACAGCTGTGTAGAGCTGTGAGCCTGCTGCAGTGCCCCCTCCCTCCCTCTGAAAGTCCTGCAGTGTTTGACTAGGCCTGCCTTCCTTTCCTTCTTTATCAACAGCTTTCAACCTACTCCCATCTGATGCTGAAACAAAAACACAGCATTTCCGGCGCTGAATGCTAAAAACTAACTGGTCTTTACTAGCAGAGCGATGACAGAAGCTAGCAAAATGAGAAAATAAACTAAATCCTGATCATTCTTCACGTAGGGGGTTAGCCTATTCATTGATTCTTAGTCATTCATATCTGGTGTTCTCCTCCCCTCTACTTGTGGGGGCCAGCCCAGGTAGACAGACTGGGTCTTATCTGGGGTAGCCTAATGATAGTTGGTAAAATAAGCTCAACCCTATTGCCGTGGGAGTCCATGTCCCCATTACTGCACTGCTCTCTCGGAGTAATCACTCTGATTGGAGGGGACACCATTTCTAGAGCAGCACAGGGTGCAGCATTCTGATTCGCTGAGAGAGGGGTAAGCTGTTTTCTATGCGTGTGAGTGCGCGTGTGTGTGTGTGGCAGTAGAGTAGTTGACATGGCTTCTCCCTTCATCACACACAGAGTTCAGAGGTCAGCTCCAGCCTGAAAGCGCAGACAAATCAAAGCAGCGAACCCCTTGCTTGAGCTCAGTCGATAGATTACTCAACATCAGAGCTCGACAAAAACAAGCTGTGATACTGTTGACAGTGTCCCGCTCCGCCACCTCAATGTTTACATGGAAGAAGCAGTTAGAGACTCTGACCACTGACAGTCTGGAAGGACATTTGTGGAGTTTGAATAGCTGTTATAAACAGTCTGGGGAATTGTATAGGCTAGCTTAATAGCCTAAAGCTTGGGTAGGGGGCTGAATTGTCTGCTCTGCTGATAACATTAGGGTCCCATGTTATCCTATCATGTTATCCTATGGCCTTTCAGCAGTGCAGTGATTGTGTAGTTAGCTAAATGTCCCTTGGGATACCGTCTCTAGTGGATACAGATCAAACACAAAGGATTCAGGCCACCAAACAGATAACCATCCCCTTGGTGAAGAATGAATTCCTTACTGCTCAGCCTTCATCTTGTGTTTGTGACTGTACTGAGGCTGAAGACCTAATAGTGAAAGAATGGGTGGGTGATGTAATGTTTTGGTTTGCTGGACATGTAGGCTAGCTAGGCTTAGGCTACATCTGATGAATCACAATCACATCTTATCTAGGACTGGCAAGGTAAGATCTACTCTGGTGGGATTTGGGGGTCAAGAAGACCCTCAAATTTGTACTATGATACACCGGGATCACAGACACCAAAGTGGTTTAGAGTCCATCCATCTCACTCTGCACTGTTCTTTACGACAGCCTGCTATTAAAAGCCCTGTGGTACTGAGTGGCCATCAACAGTCATCAGGAGCTAACCCACTAGTCAGTTCATCACTGCAGTATGCATGAAGCTAGCTTATAAAGCAACTAACCTAATATTGTGCACAACAAGCCCTTGTGTGAAGTTTGAAGCCACAGGGCCTGTAGGTTATATTCTCCCCCAAGGTGACAGTCTCACACACCCTTTCTGAATTATGTTACAGTGAATGACAGTCTCTTTCCTATACTTGTGTTACACCAGTTACTTTCACCTTATGGTTATAGCAGCACGTTTTTTGGCTGCCTGTGACAGTGCCATCCCATGGTATCCCATACCTTGAAATTGCTGGAGTTGACCCAGTTGGTAGCGACACCATCCACCATTCTGTCCAGCATGGTCTGGTCCTGCTCCAAGTCCTGGAACTTGTCCTTGTCCAGGATGGAGTCTATGATGTCCTGGCCCACCTGTAGTCTCCGACCCAGGTCCTTCTGCATAACCTGCTCCATACAGTACTCCATATTCCACTCCATAGTGTCTCACCAAAGGTATAACACCACAATAACACGGGACAAAGAAAAATGTATAGGCCTATTCTGCTCACAGAGAAGTGTAGGGTAGGTCTATATTCCAGATATATTACACACTTTCCTATATAAAGTGTGTAATGTTTATCCCAAACAGTTGACTCTTTATTTCAAGGGTATGCTGGAAGGCGAGAATGCAGAGATAACAGCAGTCCAGTCAGGAACTGTCCAGAGGTTTTAGGTCACTCTTGTGTTCCAGATCAAACTACAAATATGATCAGTCGTGGACAAGAGGACAGCAACGTGGACTGATGATGAAGAAGAGGATTGCTGAAATGATTGTACTTCATTCTTCGGTAATTCTTTGCTTTCCTATGGACCTAAAATCACAAGGGGATACAGAAGTATTATAACAAGTACTCCAGACAATAGGCCTTAGTGTAACACAAACATAGGCTAAGCAAAACAGTGTAATTACAGTCAGTGTAACAATGAGTAGCTAGTTAATAACAATAGTATTTAGCTGGACTACTGAACTGACAAATACACACTAACGTTACACAGCAATAAAACCCCATTTTTATTGAAGTATCAATACACAATTGGCTTAGCTAACGTTAGTTACCTAGCTAGTTAGCTGGCTACTTCACGTTGTGAAAGTTGCTAGCTAGTGTTTAGCCAAGCTAGCTGGCTAGCTTAGTAAATTAGGTAGCTAGCTAGGTAGCTTTTGTGCTAAGCAAAATAGATAGCTAGCTAACTTGAAATAGGATGAATTATTTGCTATACAGACAAATAACAAGCTAGCTAGTTAAAACATTACAGTTAAATTGTTAGCTAACTAGATTAAATGTAGCTATCAATCAAAGCTGAATCAACACAGCAAACGTAGCTAACGCTAGCTATCTAGATTAAGCTAACTAGTTAGCCACTAGCTAGCACGCCAAGCTGTTTCACCGTCACTGGCTCCTCCAGCTAGCTAGCCAGCTAGCTTCCGTTGGCTAACTGTCTCTAGCAGCTACCAGCAAACATTTAAATCAAGGCAACAAATATCAGCGGTCAATTCATTTAGACTACAATTAAGCAATTGTCGTCACTAATTTACCAAGGGGTTATTAACTAGCTAGTTAGCCAATTACCAGTAATCTGCATCCAGACGCTCGTCTCAGCTCAGATTCGTTCGGAGAAAATCAAGAGCCAGGATACTGGACATCCAGCAGTAGTAGCAGGCGATGAACCCACACGTACTGTATGCGTGGAGCCAAGTACAGTACTCAGAGCAGACCGTTATGTAGCCTGCTCGCTAGCTCGATCCAATATGTGATATCATTTAGCTAGCAATAGTTATAAAAATTTAAAAAATCTGCTAGCTACATTAGCTATTTGGTTACATTGTTTATAGTAATAATTTCCAATGAAAGTCATACATGTGTTGCTTGTTTGCACGCCAACAGTGCCCTCTGCTGTCTATTACAGAAAGCTCACTCTCACTTTCAAATATTTGATCGCAAAACAGTAACACTGACAATTACAAGTTTGTACAGTGTGTTGTTTTGTATCTCAAATAGTTGTCTTATTTTATAATAAAGCATTTGTTAATAAAACACTATGTGTAAATAACACTATTTCACTTTGTAGAAATAGCTAGCCTAGATCAAGATTACAAAAAGTAAAAAAGGTATGGGAATTGGTGTCCGTTTGTATGAAAAATAACTATAGAAATGTTGGAAATGACTTAAGTAATTACAGGTGTTATTTTGTTGCACTAAACACTCGACAAAGAAACAAATTAAATAACTATCTTATTTTTAAATTTTAGTACAGATCAATGTCCTTCTAATGGAGTGTCTCTCCCACTTGTCTCAGTACCTACCATGTTTGTGATTGGCTCCAGATAACTCTAGTTTTCACCTGGCCAAAGGACAGAGACAGTATCTTATATGTTGACTGATGAGGGTGGAGAAGTACAACCCTCCACCTGTTGGGGAGCTACCCACTATCGTCTCCATCCCCCTCTACAACCACAACCAGCTGTGTTTAAATTCAAGTCCATTCAGAGAACTGTAGCAGTATCCTGACCAAAAAGCTCAAGGAGGCTGGTTCCATCGCCCTTTGAACTTTAAAACAGCTCAGGTGTTAAACACTGGCTATTATGGGATGACCTGATCTTAGAACTTGGTCCTCCTTTTTAAAATAATGTGACCGTAAACAGTTTGTCAGTAGAACCTCTACATAATATTATAGCGACGCTCAATATGTTTAATGAACCACCCTTAAAATTATTCATTTTCCACATGATTCCTTGTGTTTCAACATCACAAATATGACAAAGATATTACTAACGCGATGAGTACCATATGCCTCAATTACATAAATACAGACTCATTCTTGTTGACACAATGTCCCTTTTCTTTAATGTCAGAACTGCATACATTGCAAATAGTATATATTGTGCATCACTTAGACATCATTTACAAACACCAACAAATGTGCAAATAACTGTTTTCTGTACCAGTTCCAAGTTACAGTAATGTTGAACAATAAATATAAAGAACTACAGTAGTGTTCAATTGCTCGAGATAATGACAATCGATAGTTTCGCAATACAGTAACAACGGATGGATGGATGGATTTGGATTTGAGAAAAATATGGAATTATCCTTCAGTATGAAATGACTAAGAAAGAGAACCAAGTGTGGCTGAATGTACACAACCACTGTGGCCCGTCTGGACTGACAAGTATAAAATAAAACAAAAATAACAAAAGTGAGGCAGGTTCAATATTTCCAGTTATTTTCAACAATACATTCCCTTTGCATATAAAAACAAAACCTATGAAACTGGTGAGGGACAACATGGAGTGAAAACTATAAAGTAACAAGAAAAACAATGGACTTGGTGGCGCTTTCTGGTTCAGCTTTCTTTCATCCAAAGTGCATTCTTCATTGCAAAAAATATATATACATACCCTGGATAAACTAAATCAACTGACATGATATGCTGTCTTCTAGTAAATACATACAGTACCAGTGTTAAAACTATGTTATTACAGTTCAATATTGAGAAACATTTGAGAAGACGCAAATGTTAAAGTAACGTTAACATGTGAAATATACCCTCGGAACAATGGGTTCTAAGGGCCACCAACTTAACATTGACAACTTAGACTCAAGTCAGTTACAGTAGGCGTTGAAGCTTCACTAAAAACATAAATATGGTGTCAGCAGCACATCAAACTAAAACAACAACTGTCATCATCCCAGACATAAGGTGCTTCCCTCCTTGCCATGATTGACACCTCTTCCTTCCCCTCTCCATCCTGGTCCTCACACCCTGTTCATTCATCTTCCTTCCTTCATTCATTCTTGACCAGACACCATCTTCCTTCCTTATCTCTCCTTCCTTGTCCTTACACCCCTATTTATTCATCCTTCCATTCTGGTCCACACACCCCTCTTCCTTCATTTCTCCATCTTAGTCCTGATCCCCCTCTTTCTTCACCCCACTATCTCCATCCCTCCATTCTAAACACTGGGGGCCTGTTAGTATTTGAGAGTGAGTCATCTTCATTACAGGTTACAGTAGCGTTTCACTATTTACAGTCTGAGGGAGGGGAGGGGCAGAGAGGTCCTGGGGATAACAAAGCTTCTTCTTCTTCTTGGGCCGCTAGTTAAACATGATGGATTCTGGGTCCTGGTTCATCATCTGGGCCATGTGACGGAGGACATCCTTCTTAGTGATGATGCCCAACAGACGCCTAGAGAGAGAGAGAGAGGAGGGGGGGGGGGGGACAAACAAACAAATCATTCCACCATCCAATAAACCTCGGAATGATTCAACAGAGTCTATGGTCTTCATAAATCTAACACCAAAGTAAAATGAGCCCATTTTAGAATACTGGGCCCGTTTTCCCAAATGCATCTTAAGGCCAAGTTCATCGTTAGAACCTTTGTAGGAGCATAGTTAAATCTCCGAGCTGTTTCCCCAAAACCATCGTCACTACAGTTGCCCTTAAACGCTTGTTATTTAACTACTGCCTCAGACCACTAAGTGCGTCGTTAGATACTTTTTTGCCCTTTATACACAGAAGATCTCAGCTAACACAAAATCAACTTGTTTATCTGTCTTTCTGTGACCGCAGACAACATCAGAACGAATGTGACTACAAATACAAAGTTGCCAATGTCTTTGCAATTGTTACAAACAAGCGAAGGATATAAAGATGCTTCAAATGAAAACCAAGATGACTGTATTAAAAGATACATACAGTATAGACTATAAGGAATTCATTTCAAGTTAATTCAATTGAGTTTTATTTAGCTTGTAGGCTACGCTACTGTCTGTAATTTTTGCCTCAATATATTTCATGATGTGTAGCCTACACGTGCGCAATGATGTGCCAAATCTTGATTTAGTGCATTAATATAGGGTAAGCATTAGAATAAGGCGCTTCAATATTTGTAGCCATAGGTGATAATATCTCATAGGAGCTGACCCGTCGTCAGTATTGTGGAATCATTCTAATGTTAAGGTAAGGTTTGAAAGGGAGAACGCTGATCCGAGAGCAGCGCTGTCTTTCTTTCGATCCTATTAGTATCGACACATGCCTCAACAACGCACTTAGCGAACGTTCTATCTGCGTGGTGTTTTGGGAAACGCACGTTACATCTTCCGCCGTTGTAGAAAAGATACGCCGTTAAAACAGTCGTAAGCCTAAATTCCATCGCTATGGGAAACCGGGCCCTGGACTGTATGTCGCTCATGGGCAACTGCTCGATGACTAAAATGTGAAACATTCTAAACTAGCAGAAACTCTGGTGGATGAAGACTATGTTAGGTTGGTTGATTGGTTGATGACAGACTCACTCGCTTCTGGTGACCAGACACTGTCGGAGCCCCAGCTCAGATCACTAGACCCCCATAACCCTCACCCCCACACACTCATCCCTCACACACACCCCTCTCTCAGCCTTACCCGCTCCTGGTGACCAGACACTGTCTGAGCCCCAGCTTTCTGAAGATGTCCACCACAGTCTCCATGGGGGTGTGGTCTGTGACGGTGAAGGGGCTGAGGTTGAGGATGCGCCGCAGCTTCAGGGGCTGGGGGTCGCAGGCCTCGGCCACCTGGGGGGTGTCCTCCGTGAAGTAGACCACAGAGCTGCTCACCACCCCGTCCTGCTTCTGACGGGCAGTCTCTGAGAGGGAGGGAGAAATATCAGCTGTGACTCCTCAGACACCACAGATAATACTCAATGAACTGACACATTAAATACAGTGTTCTTCAACACATGCTGATGTCTTTCTATGTGACTTACAATAGCTATGATCACAACTTCCTATTCATGTTCTCCAAACTATTATGTTTGGTGTTTAGTCTGTCATTTCACAGTGAAAACAACCTACTGTAACAGTCCCACTATTTTGTTCAATGGAAGCAGGCCTTTAAGCACAACAGATATTGTTGTTGTAGAGGGAGGCCAGAGAGAGGTGGTCATTTTGGAATTGGGCTGCTCATTTGAAAGTTTGATGGAGTGGGCCTTTGCTGAAAAGCTTCTTAAATACCAGCCCCTAATATCACGCTTGCACAGCCTTGGATATGAGTGTAGGTCGGTAGCACTGATATTTGGCAGCCTTGGCCACGTTACATAGGCTTACAGTACGTGGCCTTCAGATTGCAGGCCGACCTAAGACTTGAGTAAAGCAATTAGCAAGGTACTGTTCTCTTGCAGGTGTTATGGGCATCCTAGCTGTATGGAGAAGGTGCTTTTTGTATTCTTAAGTGTTCCATGCATCCAAGACCTTCGAAATGTTTGAATCCTTCTTGATTGTAATGTGATTTCTGGATTTGAATAAAGTATTTAAAATGTGTGTGTGAGTGTGTTTGTGTGTGCGAGATCCAGGGTTAATGTCTTACTGATGGCCACAGTGAGGTCCCTGCGCTGGACGAAGCCGATGAGGCGCTCCGACTCTCGGGACACGACCACGGGGAAGCCGTTGTAGTCGGTGTCCTTGATGAGCGTCTCCACATCCTCTACTGTGGTGCTGTCCTGGGTCAACACGGCCAGGGGGGGCTCACTGCGCCTGGGACGCATCACATCCGTGGCCAGGGTCCTGTGTACGGATCACATATTAGGAGCTCTTAGGGTCTGTTTCTCAGACACAGATTAATCCCACTCCTGGAAGCAAAAACATGCTCAAAGTATACAAATATATTTTTAGTTCAGGACTATGCTTAATTTGTGTCTGGTAAAACCAGCCCTTAGAGAAGGGATGACTCTTGACTACTGCAGGGTTGAGACTTGACTAGGGGCGAGGTTCCTCCCCTGAGAAGGAGGAACGACAAAGTTCCTAATATGTATCCCGTAATACATTTACATTTTAGTCATTTAGCAGACGCTCTTATCCAGAGCGACTTACAGTTAGTGAGTGCATACATTTTCATTAATACCTGTGCGTGAACTCGTCCCTGACGTCCAGGTAGGGGTAGCCATTGAGTTGGATATGGGACTCGTAGATACCCTCCTTCCCAAAGGCATCCGCTACCCACTTACTGGTGACGGCTGCGGCCATGAGGGGTACGATGTACTCCAGACCACCGGTCAGCTCAAACATAATGACCACCAGGGACACGGTCATCCTGGTCACACCTCCTATAACAACAACACAAAGGTGTCAACCTAATGACCTGAGTGTTTATTTTATAAAGTGTGAAGTAATCCCGCCCTGTTTCAGTCTGTTTTCATCCGTTTGGTGCCTAATGAACACAACCCTAATGAATAGGGACTCACCCAGACATGCGGCAGCGCCCACCATGGCGTAGAGCCCTGGGGTAACACAGTCGGCTCCGGGACGACACCAGTTCTTAAAGATGATCCAGTCGTGGTGGTGGTAGGCCATCTGCTCCACAGCGATGCCCACGATTCGCCCAGCGATGGCCCCCACAGCCATACTGGGAATGAACAGCCCAGACGGGATCTGGAGACAACACAGAGGACATAGAACAACATGGCGGAGAGGTGATCTGAACACAACAAATCAACCATGAGCACGGTTATCCTACTCACAATATCTGGGATCCAAACTTGGTAACACTTTATTTGAAGGGAGCTACATAAAGGACCTAACACTTTCATATTTCATAACCCACACATAAGCAGTTCAGTAGCATTTCATAACTGCTTACGTCAGTTAACATAACCCTATCTAGCCATGCCGTACAGCATACTGACCTTCATGCCGAAGGTGAAGATGGTAATAACTATCTTAAAGATAAGAGCCAGGGCCAGCTGCCACAGAGCGGTGTAGACCCCGGGTCCAGCAGGGCGGTCTGGGATGTCGTCCACCGGACGGCTCATGTTGGGGTTATTAACGTAGTCACACAGCTGAGAGGACTCCAGCGCACCGCAGTCGTTGAACAGCTCTGAGATGAGCTCGCTGGTGCTGCGCCGCGTGTACGGGTTAGGGAACGCCAGGACCGCGGTAATACCCGTTATAACGATGACCTTAATCAAACAAATGTATTAATAAAGCCTTTTTACATCAGCAGTTCTCACAAAGTGCTTTACAGTAAACCGGCAAAGACCCCAAAAAGCAAGCAAGAAGCAGAAACTGGCATTACATTTGAGTCATTTAGCAGATGCTCTTATCCAGAGCAACTTAGATACAATCAGTGCATTCAACTAAGATAGGCCAAATCACAATCATTGCACTAAAACATTCTTATAAATAGCTACTATCTACTAAATCAGTGCTGAGTAAGCAAGTAAATCAATGCAAGAACTACCCTATGGGTCCTGGTCAAAAGTAGTGCACTATATTGGGAATAGGGTGCCACAGTTAGTTACCTCTAGGACAGGGTACTTCCCCAGCAGAGTGGTCTTCCTCCTCCTACACCAGGCGATGTTCCCCCGGATGAAGAGGGTTCCCCAGAGGCCCCCGAACACCCCCAGCAGGATGAACGGGACCAGCTCAGCCATGTACCAGGGGGTGTGGTACTCCACGTAGAACAGGACCAGTCTGCTGTTGCCGAACGGGTTGATGGCGCGCAGGGTGAAGGCTGCCACCAACGCAGCGAAGAAGGAGCGCCACAGCGTCTTCAGAGGGAAGTAGTAACTCACCTGAACAGGACAGAGATACTTTAGTATTTAAAAGGAAATGGATCAAAAATAACAGCAACGTATCTGGAAGTGAGATGGAATTTGATTGGACACAGCAGGTGATTTCTAATGGACTTAAGTATACCTCACCTCCTCCAGGCTGAAGAGAACTCCTCCAATCGGAGCTCCAAAGGCCACTGACACCCCAGCGGCAGCAGCAGCCGATAACACCTGCACAACAGACAAACCGAGTTACATACAGACTACACTAAATACTTGGATAAATTGTTTAATTTCTCCAAATTGTATTATTTCCCCAGAAATGGGAGCGTAATGGGCTACCACTGTACCTCTCTGCGCTTGCCCTCGTTCTTGCTGTACTTGGAGAACAGGGAGCAGAAGAGGTTACCACAGCAGCAGGCCACGTGGACCAGGGGTCCCTCCTTCCCCAGGCTGAGCCCGGAGGACACAGCCAGGACCAGGGTCACCGTCTTGATCAGCAGGGTCCACTTCCCCAGGTACCCCCGGATGATGAACCCACTCAGGATGGTCTTGATCTACACAAGACGACACACAGCATCCCCCTTTGGTATAACCTTTGCAACTGTGCAGTTATCTGAAATGAATAAACACTCTTAGAATGCTCTTCAGCCAATCAAAATGTAGTATTTAAAATACTATAGTATGGTTATTTTCTATTAGTGAACGCCAACATTTCAAACACTCACCTCAGGAATACCTGACCCACAGGCGTAGGGGGCAAAGACTCTTACTAGAGACACAGCCAGGAAAGAGAATAACAGCGCCCACAATACATACAGGAAGTAATTCAACACATATGCCCCGGCACCCTGGAGAAACAAGAACAGGTGGAATATATGGGTTTAATGACCTGATACACAATCATCCCACTCTCTATCACAACAAACACCAAGTTAAACCTCAGAAACTGAGAGTAGTTACATTTCCCCAAGCCACATCCCTTAATCTAGCCAAGTGACGTCTGTCGTTCGTCGGGCTAAAACACAAACTCAGTATTGTGGCTTTAATCAAGAGGATATCTGGTTAACGGTCATTGATCTGCTGACCTCAGAGTGACCAGTCATCAGCTCGGCCCACTTCTGCCACTGCGGACACTTGTCTCTGTCGTCAAAGGTGGTCTCGTTGGAGGTCCAGCAGCACTGCTCATGGCTGTAGTAGAACGCAGACAGACACACCCCTTCTTTTAGATCTGTCATCCAGTCCACAGCCAGGTCTATCACTCCAGCCAGCGTACCTACATGGGAGGACACACAGCATGAGACCACAGATCACTCTAAGAAAGGGAACGGGCATGCCTATCAAAAGGATCCAGACCAGACGTGGTATTTCACAACTCTGGCTGTGTGACTTTTGATTGGTTGTTAGAGAGCCATGTCATGTGTTCATGTTTGTGCAGTATGAATCTCGGCACCCAGAAGCAAATCTCATGTGTGCCATATCACAAGAGACTAGTGTAGTACCAAAGATGTAAGAGCTTTGCAGGATGCCTCTGTCTCTGTGGTTCCTACCTGTGAGCATTCCTATGAGCAGCATCACCACCCATCCTGACCAGGCATCCAGAAGACTCTTAATAAGCTCCCAGTAAGACTCCTTACTCTTGGTGGTGATCTAGAACAACCATCAATTAACCATCAATGGAGGTTCAATGGATCATCAGGTTAAATTAATGAGGTGGACATCAATAGTTTTTCTATGATGATGACGATTATGACGATGAAGAGGATGAAGAAGAAGAAGAAGAAGAAGAAGAAGAAGAAGAAGAAGAAGAAGAATGATATCCTCTGGGGATGAAGAAGAAGAAAATGCTTAGAGTGTAGAGCTGTGTGTGTGTGTGTGTGTGTGTGTGTGTGTGTGCCCCCTTCACCTTCCTATGGCGGTCTGTGTCGCGTGACTTTTCCCGGAGCCAGTCAATGGTGTGGAAGTCTTCATAGGTGCCCACGTCAGGGAAGGGCTCATCCAGGAAGTCCATCAGGTTCCCAGTACCATTCATCTCCTCTGAGGGAGTGGCCCCAGTACTGCTGGCCCCTGGTCAGAGAGACGAAAGAAGATTTCTTATTGTCTAATGCAGGCCTTCACACACTTCTGCTTTATCCCAACACCTCCAAAAGACACACACACACACAGAGGTTGAAGAGACCGCGAACCCAGCCAAGTCAGTTCTCCGATCCTCAACACTGTATGAAGCACTATGCTGCCAATAATGCCCATGAAATGTATGAAATTGTAATTATTGGGATTCGGGTCACCAGACAGACCTTGTGATACTATGTCCAGATTAATTTTAGCTTCAGTTTGGACATTTGTCCAGAGCAGACAGTGGCCCTATTTTCATGTTCTTGTTGTTGATCATCATATATTTCACATGTATTATTTGCATTTTATTGCACATAACTACATTAGTAGCTTACTTGGATACATGGTCGCTATAATTCTGTCATTTTTTTCTCATAGGGTAGCTACGTCATGCAGAGGCAGCGAAAACAGTAACGTTACTGAGCAGTCAAGAATACAAGAGTAGGCTAGCTACATGCGGAACTTGCGGGCCATGCTTGAATACTGAATTACAAATCATTGATCAGTGACAGTGACAGAGGCCTTCATGTAGCTTTTAGATATACCTAGCTAAAGCAAGTAGATATGGATGTAATAAGACCGCTAACGTTACTGCTATCTAAGATTTGGCCAGATATCATTGCGTCTCCCTTTAATCATTATGGCATTATTAGACATGCAATGAAATTCACGCTTACCGTCTCCGTCCATTGTTCACACGATCCGACTCCTCAAAATAAAGACATCTATATCTCTTAGCTATATAATCACCAATATTGAATGCATTTTGATACGGTGTTTGGTTGTCACCAGCCAAACCTGTTTAGAAAATAGAGAGAAGATGACGTCATAGGCTTCTGCTTCCCACAATGCATCTGCTCAACCTGTCAACGCATGAAGGTGGACTTGTGAGTAGGGAAATGGCAGCACCTTGTGGCTGAAAGAAAAATCTAAAATGTGTATCCGTTTATTCATCTCAGTGTGTAGGCTACTGTTCACTCACAGAGAGACCACCAGACCACTAAACTGCCTCTATAGAGGGTTATTTGTGTGCTATTGTGTGTTGAAAATGTTTGTTCTTCTCTTCTTGACATGGCCTGCATATTCAGCCGCCTACTTGGGTCACAAGCTCTGTATGTCAGAGATGTGATACAGGAAAAAGGAATGTATCACCGGATATTGTTCCAAATCAAATAAATGCACCACTTTGAATACCTCTGTATAGTAAAACAATCACTTGATTTCTTTAAAATAGCAGTTAATAAACAGGCTATTGAATGTATTTGATCAGTTCAGAGTCTCCTAAATCTATAGATGACATGTAAATGCCCTAGTAGCAGCATAGCTTGTTTGGTCTTTTTAGTTGATATAGCAACCAAAGTGATGTCTTTTCCCATTTCCATCAGCCTTATTTTTAAAGGTACACACAGTCAGTTGTATTCTTATTTAATCTGGCAACCCTACATGGGGCCCCACAGTTTCTAAAGAGACAAAGCTAGTAGTGAGAGGAAGAAGTCATTCCATAAACTTAAAAAGCAATTCCATCCTCTGTGTGTGTGTGTGTGTGTGTGTGTGTGTGTGTGTGTGTGTGTGTGTGTGTGTGTGTGTGTGTGTGTGTGTGTGTGTGTGTGTGTGTGTGTGTGTGTTCAGTAGCATCATGCCCATTGGGGGCACAAAGACACATGCCCCCTCAGATTGTCTTGTTTTTCAATTTTTTTAGATGTTCAATTAATTACTAAACATTTTTAAGCACATGTTTTATCATCATTATTTATAAAAAGGTCTGTCAGCTGTATTTTGCTGAGAGGGCACACTGACTGGACCAGGAAAAGAGTACCCCCCCTATTCTCCCCAGTAAGTGGTTTTGATTTTAGCTGCCGGTGCTGGGCAGGAGGTGCAGTATGTTTGTAAATCACACTGAACAAAAATATAAATGCAACATGTAAAGTGATGGACCCATGTTTTATGAGCTGAAATAAAATATCCCAGAAATGTTCCCTTTTTTCTCTCAAATTGTGTGCACAAATTTGATTACATCCCTGTTAGTGAGCATTTCTCCTTTGCCAAGATAATCCATCCAGCTGACAGGTGTGGCATATCAAGAAGCTGATTAAACAGCATGATCATTACACAGGTGCACCTTGTGCTGGGGACAATAAAAGGCCACTCTAAAATGTGCAGTTTTGTCACACAACATAGTCCCTTTTAGCTCAGTTGGTAGAGCATGGCGCTTGCAACGGCAGGGTTGTGGGTTCGATTCCCACGGCGGGCCAGTATGAAAAAATGTATGTTCTCACTAACTGTAAGTCGCTCTGGATAAGAGCGTCTGCTAAATGGCTAAAATGTAAAATGTAACATAATTCCACAGATATCTTAAGTTTTGAGGGTGTGTGCAATTGGCATGCTGACTGCAGGAATGTCCACCAGAGCTGTTGCCAGAGAATTGAATGTTAATTTCTCTACCATTAACCACCTCCAACGTCGTTAAAGAGAATTTGGCAGTACGTCCAACCGGCCTCACAACCGCAGACCACGTGTAACCACGCCAGCCCAGGACCTCCACATCTGGCTTCTTCACCTGCGGGATCATCTGAGACCAGCCACCCGGACAGCTGATAAAACTGAGGAGTATTTCTGTCTGTAATAAAGCCCTTCTGTTGGGAAAAACTCATTCTGATTGGCTGGGCCTGGATCCCCAGTAGGTTGGCCTGGCTCCCAAGTGGGTGGGCCTATGCCCACCCAGGCTTACCCATGGCAACACCCCTGCCCAGCCATGTGAAATGCATAGATTAGGGCCTAATGAATTTATTTGAATTGACTAATTTCCTTATATTAACTGAGTAAAATCGATGAAATTGTTGCATGTTACGTTTACATTTTTGTTCAGTATAATTTGATCAAGCTATGTAGCCTATTGATTCCTTCTTGATGGAATAAATCAAACAAAAATATTTTGTTGTTTCCCTGTAATACTAGCCACCTAGCAGTTTTATGAAGTTAGGTTCCCTATCTAGCTGGCTAGCAAAAGCTATCTCCCAACCTCATAACTAGCTACCAAGCCATTTCAGGCTATCAATCAAGTTAGAGTAACTTGTCTAACTATCTTAGCTAAGATAACCTATGCAGAAAAATATACCTATTTTTTTACATAGAATTAGGCATTACAATTATGGCTCTTGATTGCAGGGAAAAGGCTCTGTCTCTAAAAAATATCATAATTTTTATAACATCCTGTCTGCATTTTAATAGCATCCTGCATAGGCTACAACCTCCTCACTGTGTGTGTGGAAATGGGCATCACTGTAGATCTGAATGATGCTGTTGTTCGATGCGTCTGGCTCTCACTCAGTCACTCTCTCCTGACCACTGAGCAAAGCAGCGGCTGAAGCGAGCCTCCAAGGGGAGGGCAACATGTCAGCAAGCCACCACTCTCCTCCTCTCAACTGCAGATGATGTGTGCATGTTTTGAGTGAACTACTGATCTTTTGAAGAAGTTACTCCCTCCCAGCCCATGCTGGTAGTTGTAAACCCTAATTGGACACACAGTCTTTTGAACAAATTGAGCCTTGATAGGAACCTACTGGCCGTAGCTTCCTCTTGCTTCAACTGGCTGCAGTTCAGAAAGACAGGAGTAGAGAGAAGCAGTCGGGAGCCCTGGCTGCAGCTGACTGTGGCACAGAGAGACAGGAGTAGAGAGAAGCAGTCGGGAGCCCTGGCTGCAGCTGACTGTGGCACAGAGAGACAGGGGGAGCAAGCAACTCGGGAGCCAGAGCTGAGCTGAGCCGGAGAGTGGCCACTCAGAGTGGGCAGCACTATGGATCCGGGGGTGTGCGCTCTGGAACTCCTCGGGGTCCTCTTCTCCATTGGTGCCTGGATCTGCTCGCTGGCCACCACCATCATGTCCACCTGGCTGACCCTGTCCACCGACCTGCTGCCCGCGGAGAGCTACGAGCTGGGCCTGTGGGAGACATGTGTGGTGCAGGACCTTGGAATTCTGGAGTGCAGACCCTATGACAGTCTCCTCGGCCTGCCCCCAGACATCAAACTAGCCCGGATCCTCATGTGTGTAACAGTGGCCACTGGCCTCCTGGGTCTTCTGCTAGCCATTCCTGGAATCTACTGGGTCAACAGCTGCAACCAGGGGTCTGAGGGGTTGAGGGTGAAGAGATTGATGAAGATGCTGGGGGGGATATTGTGCTTGGTCGCAGGGATACTGGGTCTCATACCTGTGTCTTACATCGCTCACCTGACGGTTATGCGGTTCTTCGATGAGGCCGTGCCGGCCATCGTGCCGCGCTGGGAGTTTGGGGATGCCCTGTTTTGTGGCTGGACGGCAGGGTTTCTACACCTGGTGGCTGGCTCTCTGTTGGTCACCTCCTGCGTGTGCCTACAAGATGAGCCCTGCACCTTACAAATGCCCATACCGCTACAGAGAAGACATACACACGTACACACTACCAATATCCCACATAGGAAGAGGTCCATGGAATATGTTTGATAAGCTATTGAGAAGTGAGAACAGTATTGTCAGTAACCTCTACCCTGTCTCTATCAATGGTGAATAAAACGCTGCTTACCTAAAGCTTTTTCATGCTTATCTACATTAGCTAAAGTTATTGAGTACTCTTGCTGGGACAAATCTTTCTCCATATATTGAGACAGAATTTGCAAACAATGCTGGTACTTATTTCAGTCAGTCAGACAGGGTTTTGTGCATGTCATGTTTGCAAAAAATATCACCTACATTTATCAAACAGAAATTATTTTACGGAACCAAAGAGACTACAGTTTTTAAAGCTGCCATTTCTTCCTAATATGTTGCTATGCCTGTTGTAGGTACTGTGTAAGAGATACTGTGCAATGGTGACAATTTGATGACAAGCAGTATATTGTCTGTGAAATTACTGTAAGCTTCAACTCTGACCAAGGTTGATTATACTGTATGTCAATATATCAATGATTGTCTTGGATATCATATCTTATATTGTCTCTTGAATATCTTATCGCAATACCAGTTGTTCTTTACAGCATCTATCATCATTGTTGTCCAATTACTAAATGAAGCCAGTTTGAATGAAGCTGGTTTCTCACTAGGAAGTGCATAAAAAATGGATCCCTTCTTGATATTCTTATAGCCTACACAGTTACTCAATAAACAATGTGTTACAGGAATAATTAATCATACAAATTGTAAATAGAACAAAAGAGAAAAAGTATAACATATTGTAGAAAGCAAATAATAATTAATGTGAGGAATGTACAAAGTATTTTGGGAATGTGTGTTTAAATGGTGAAATATAAGGACTTGCTTGCTTGCCACAACTTGACAAGACAATGACTTCATGGATATTTGAGGATCTGATTGTATTAGTTTCATTTCTGCTGAAATTTCCACTATACATTCTCTCTAGTTAGAGGGCAATATTACTGATTTACCACATACATTATATAAGATATATACCAATATACATTATATTGTATATTGCTCTGTAGTACATATCCTATATCAGTTATATCCATACTGTGGAGAAATCTGTACATAAAAAAGTTGATATTATCAAATAAAGAAAGAACCTGACAGAAACCTGACCATGATTCATTCCTAAGCATCACAAACCACCTGCTTCTGTTACACAAGCTCAAACTGTTGCTAGACAACGATGAGGAAGTGAGTTTTCAAGTAAGGTGAGGTGACAGACCAAGTCCAGTGGAAACGGAGCTTAAGTTTAATTCCTGCTGATTTTGGTCTTGGTTCCTGGGCTAAGCTGTGGTTAATGAACATCATAATGATTAAACGTAATGTGAGGAATGTCAGATTTCCTAGACAGTGCCCATTACTTTGACAGTGTTACACAAGCTT